GGTTTGGCGATAAATTGAGGGAAATGTACGAAAGAATTTTTAAGAAATAAAGAAAAAAAGGCACATTAATATTTGTAGGTGACGAGGTGACAAACAAGACGAGAGACAATTTATCGCTGATTTACTGTATTATACACAAAAAAACTAGCGCATAGATGTCATTCTGATTATGAAAGTAGGGAGTGAAAAATATTTTTTATTGTTATTATTATTTTTGTAAGGTTTGTAGTCGATTAACTCGGTTTCATTTTGTTTGCATATCATTGATATTTTAATTCTTAAAATGAATTCAGGAACCCAACACTGTTATTTTCGAATGGTATCAAGAGTTAGACCACAGAATGTGCATTTACATGTAATGATTTATGGTAAATTCTGAGGACAGAAAATAAGAAAACATGCAATGAAATTAATAATAGAAGCCGTGATAGTACGTATCCTTCTCACGATCAAGACCTATGCTATATCCTAGCTTTAGGACAGTGCGTTACGTTTTCTTTATTTTCTTTATTGGTTTCTGTGTTAGCTGGTTTCTGTGTTAGCTGGTTTCTGTGTGTCGAGGGCAAGTTAAATGTCGTCTGCGTAACCTAAAAACAGCATTCATGAAAGGCTATGAAAAAATGAAAGGGCCCCAATTGTCAGTACTAATGGAATTATTTGAACCATCCAGATGAAAGTCAATACTACTGAAACTGATGTGCTACACATGTGATTCCTGAAGCTATATATACTGTCTAGGCATATATGTTTTTGTCCTGGCCTAGTCGCTAAAAGTATAAATATATATTTAAAAAAAGTAAATGTAGATACATGTATTTCATTTCCATTTTTGTTTACCAAACTTAGAAATTAGAAACAATACATTTTAAGAAGGAATTAATTGAATAAATAGGACTTGCAAGTAATATACATGCATAATTTAAATTTCTTTAAATACTTTTATATATATTGAAAGCGCTTCGTCGTTGGTTGTTATATTTGCAAGTTAGATAATTTCTTTGCAATATTTATCGTTTTCAATTAAATAGCAACGCAACAAGTAAAATAATATACATTATGATCTGTACATTACAATAGCCGACTTATCATTACAATGTTGCACCTAAAAGCACGTTGTTACTAGTATATTTCTATTCTCCGAATTCGACTGTGATTTACATACACATGTCACGTAATACTGCGGGGGCATGCATACTTTCAGTAAACACGAAAAACCCGAGCGCTGTCACAAAAATATACCGAAACTAAGGTATGGTCCTGGCTGCAACAAATGAAGCAAGTCACAATGTATTCCTTAATAATGTAGAATTCCATCCATTTCCGTACAAATTTATCAATTTACTACTCCAAATGGCTTGCTAATGATTTACGTCCACAACAAGAGTATATATGCGATGGTAATGAACAATGTGACAGCTAAACCACGTGACTTTTAGAAAACTTGTACAATATATTTTGGAAGCGACATATTATTTTTACTGTATTCCATTGTAGATCGCTATCACGCACCATTGAGTTTGTCTGCGACACACATGGCAGCTATATCGGAAGGTCTAAAACACCTATGTAGTTTATTGGTTAAGAATATTGACCATAGCTGTTAAACACCATCGTTTCAAAACCATTATTATGGTTGAGGTGACGGACTGATCCAGATGCAAATTACATGTTTTGGACCTTAGTTTCAATTAAATTCGTACCTTATCTCTCGACAGCTGCTTGTTGTGAACATCTATTCGTCATTATTGCCTATTCTGTAGATAAATTTGAAATGACAAATTATGATGAACATTAAGCGATGTTTCTACAAAAGAGAGGTTTATATCTTGTTCATAAATGTATTTGAGGTCAGAAAGGACACAGAACCACCCATTTGCCTTCATAGATGTACTGCGGTTTATAAAAGGACACACATATATGTGTCAGCTTTAAGCCTATTGTTAGTTTCTCTTTAATTAATTTTCACACTTCCTAATATGGTAATATTTCACTATTGGAGGGATAGAAAGCGTATAGGTTATTGCCAGAACTTAGACTTGGATCTACACATTTGAATCCCGTTCCCCAGGTTAAGATAAAGATTATCCAGAATGGAGCATATATATACAATCAGTCAGCTCACATCCTAGTGATTTGTGTTTATTATTTTTCTATACAAATGTTTGTCCAAAATCTAAACCAGCGGGAAAACTTATCAAACGGTGTGGAACGATGCTTCATTTCTGATGAATTTTTATGCATATTTTTATGATTTATTCGGATAAGCAAATGCTTGTGTTTTTATTTTTTTATATAATTTAACTTCATTATGCGCGAATAGGTATTTTATTTCAAATTGGATTGAAAACAGCTCTTGGCCCGTCGATGTTATTGTTTACTAGGACATTTTGTATCCAAGGATTTCCTAAGACTACCACGGCTCGCACTTTGAGTACGTGACATGACTTGGAATGAACATAGATTGACATTGCGGGTATCGTCGATGAAGCAGAAGACGTTGACACTTCCGGAACATATGTTTTTGTTTTCCTTTTACATTTTTCAAGGATCGTCTTTTAAATCTTAATCTTTTATTTTATTTTTATCGAGTTTGAAGTTTTTGATTATTTGGTTTGGTTTGTTTGCGTTTTATGTCCTATTAACAGCTATGGCCATCTTAAGGACGTGCCAGGTTTTGGTGGTGGAGAAAAGCCGGAGTTCCCGGAGAAAAAAAGCCGACCTACGGCCAATACCTGGCGATTGCCCCATGTAGGTCTCGAGCCCGCGTTTTAATATTTGATTACAATTTTTATTTTTACTTGTTTTTTTCCTTGCAAAATACCGCTAGTATTGAATATGTCATGTTTCAAGAACAGTAAAACTATTTCATCCCCCGCCCCCACGCAATAAGATATTAACCGCGATTTTTTTATAAATATGGTCATTAGTTCTACTTTTTTCACACATTCATGCTTTACCAGGAAACTGTTATTGTGTAGAATCCCGGAAGCTTATCTACATAAGTGGATTTAAAGTATATTTTGATATATTCATGTAAACAGAAACCCTTTGTTCGCCCTCAGCTGTATTATAAAAGTTGATTGATGTTTCGCAAAATTGATGAAAAAGCTTTAATACTATAATATGTTTATAAAGCATATCATATTAACCCAATGCTTTTATCTTTAAAAGATACAATGGAAACTAAACATTTTAATATAGGATAAATTACATTGTTCACCCTTAGTGTGTCATGTCATGACAAGTAACGACACAGGTAAACGATGGAAGAAGATTTCATTATGATGTGATATTTGTTTTATCACAACAAAAATGCCGGGATATAAGGCAATACCAAGTTGTAAACAAAACTGGAATTCGACAAGACTATGTACAAATGTGAACAAAGACAAAAAGTTCAATTGAAAAACTGCAAGAAGAATACGACCATGTGTTCAGGAAGGGTAAGCGTCCTCTAATTCATTCATGACACTCGCATTGCTATCTATGTCCCATTCAAGACTATAGATATATTGCATAATGGCAAACATAATGGAAACAGTGAAGCAATAACATTATGTAGCGCTCAATACAGGGCAAGGAGTACGGAAAACTGTTCACAATTTGTATTTCTATAAGAACTTTCAGGAATGTTTCGGGTTTGAAAGTGATATATCAAAACGTTAATTCTTTATTAATGGTGCTTTTATGGTTATGTGTTTGTTTAACAATCCAAACGCTTACACTGTAACGTTGCAAATGGTGTACATGAAAATCACACCCATGAGACTTTCAATCACTTTCGACTACAACCCTGTGCTTGATTATATATACAATCAAACTTCAAATATTCGTTCCATTTGCATTGTCATTTTCATGTAGAAGAGTCGTTCATAGTCTTGTTCTTTTACAACGATCATGTCGTTTTTTTCATTTTAGATATTGTCAGAAATTCTTTATAATGTTAAATCCTTCTCGAAACAGGGTGTCAGTATATTGAGGTTTCACTGTAGAGCGGTAAGTAACAAGTGTGAGTTGCTGAAGAATGCGTCGTGACTTATATCGTTCTCACCTGTAGTCTGAAGGAACCGTTTTGTTAACGATATGAGTCATTTGAAAAAAAAATCATATTTAAATTTGAATTATTTTTTCGCAATGAAAGATGACTATGCAGTCAATTATGTAACTTGTTTGACTAACGCAAGAGTTTGACTCCAATTTTGAGAATCATCTGATTAATGGCACTCCTTTTGAATAAAAGCAAACTCGAATTGCTTTGTCGATTGGATAAAAAATGAACTTGAAAATTTTCATTATTTTGAAAAGAAATTCTATTGACTCGTATGGTAAGATTAGTGTACGTGAATATCGCCAGCAGGTTCTAATGCAAGCTTGATCATCTTTACAAAATATTTGATCTAGTATATTTTCAAAATTATCTGAATAGAGAAATACAGTAACATCTGGAATACATATGAATAATTTGGAAAGAAGAACCTTTTGAATATTTCCACTTTTGTAGACTTCTTGTAAAAAATATGTCTAATTATTGAATAGGCTTATCAAGCTTGCCGTGATAGGAACACCAAAGTGCTAAAAACAGGGCGCTTTATCGTGATTACCAGATGACCTCATTAATGTTTAGTTAACGCAATAGGTACATTTCAATGTCAGTCCTTCTTTTTTAAATTACCGCACGTTATTGAAATATATTATTGTATATTCACACATTGATTATCTTGTTTAATTTCAGCAATTGGACTTTGACTAATCATTCATCGGCACTACATTCAAATACAGACATTGTTTATAATATATCAGATTTATGTTAAGCTTATCTATCTTTTTGATAATTGACTTGCCCAGATGTACCATTTATTCGTGCCGGTTATTTAACAATTATGTGGTCATCAGATGTTCACCAAGATAAAAGGTCACTGTTTTTTTTTTTTGATGACTTAACGGGTCATCACATTATAGCCACACACCACTTAATGAAAAGGTCAATACGGCATTTCGTCAATGACAAATTTTATTGAGATTCAGTGTCCAATTTTAGACCAAGTGCATATTACAATCAATACATTCATGAAATCAATACTTACCTTCAACAGGTGAAGCAATTAAGAGGTGAATAACAATTTAGCCTACGAGTAAATCACAGCTATAGATAAGGATCAAATAACGATAAATAAATAATTGTCTAAAAGTATTATCATTATATTATAAATTTACATATTGTAAAGCAGGGTTCACACCCGTTAAACTGAAAAGACACATAAACAATATATAGCATAAGTCCGAGAAGACTACGAATTAGTTGCAAACCAATCTTAACCAAGAAAAAATATTAAGAGAAATCGTGTAATATAGTATTGACAGAAAAGCCAGTATTGGTGATGAAAAGTCACGATAATGAGAAAATATTTGCTGGTCCAGAGCAATCGATGAGTAAGCAGGATTGGACCACCATTTTTGCCTTTGGTAACCTAGCTTTATGATATATCAGATACAATCATACAGCTAGATAACCAAAGACAAAACTAGGGCCGTCTTCTTCGGAATCCTTCTTCTTTCTTCTTTCTCCTGGTAATACACAAGATCCTTCTATTACAAATATATTTTCGGAATTCTTCTTGTATAGTAATTCTTTGTATCCGGTAAGTTGTCTATCCACTTCCGCCTCGTAGTTCCACTCGAATGCTCTAATAGAAATCTGTGAATATATAAAAATCGAAAACTTCTTTTTCATTTAAGTTGTTTTCGTAACCTTGGCGGTGTAAGACGACATAAACGGTGACACGTCTTGTTCTATTGTGCACATTTTTCTCATACATACTATAACTTAAACGGTATATTGTAGTCTAAAGTTCGCACATTCATATCATTGACGGTTTATGACAGTAAAAGTCAGCTACAAAGAGAGTCCACCACTTGTCAGATGATTAAGTTGGCTCAATCTATTAAAAGTTTTAAAATGCAGTCTGAAATATGAATTATCCACTGTCGTATTGATCACTTGTCAAATTATCTCCAAATAACAGCCCCCTTATTTGCTGATATACCTGATACGTTGACTGATTGCATACCAAATGAGTTTATCTTTTGTCAAGTAAATCACAGTTTACTATCATACATATTTACATACAATAGTTAAGCAAATTCTCAAGTAAATGTTAAAAGAGAGATCCACTTATATACCAGGAGGTTAATAATAATCATCTACTGATGAAAACATAGCTGTATCCTATAACATTCCAAATCACCTATCCACGAGTTGTGATGAGTCAAATTATCCTTCCCTACCCCGTATGTATGACAACGTCGATCAAATATTTCCTTCTGGTATGATTTGGTGTGTCAGAGTCCCACATATATTTCCCTCTGGTGGTAGTTTACCTAATGAACACATTTTAACACACATGCGTATATTCCGAGTGTCGGCTACGTGGCTGGTGTTCACTGAATGAGCGTACCGTGGTTTCGACATGATAGAACTAGTTGGTCAACACACTGAAATGACGCGAACACTCTTGTCCGCATAAACGCATTGATTGCTATGGTTGAGGGTTTCTTTCACTTCAATATATCGATAAGGTCGGTAGCAATTACTCAAGGCACAGCTATGTTCACTCGAATGTGACCTATTTTGAATTGATATGGTTCAATGAACAGGCAAATGATGGTTGAGGAGCAAAACGAACCTACATGCACACATACATACACATACATTCATCAGTAGTGTCTAAAAGAAATATAAGATGATTTTTACAAACATGGGTTTTTAGATCTATTTAAGTATTTTCGCATAATAGATCGTGTCCGGCGTTAGAGGGGATCTTGATGAAATGCCAGAAATAAATTACCTTAGGCACGTTTCATGTTTCGAATAACTTTGGACTGCTTTTAGGAAGAATTATTTAGAAAGCAACAAATCGCTCGATCTCGCCATTAAAGCTCGCTACGTTTCAACGAATCCCTAAAAAGTTAAAAGGCAAGCGATATAATACACCCTAGTGGATTTGCATTGCACAGATTTGAAAAATAACTTTTCAATGTCACCAGGACACGTTTGAACAGAACTTTTCTAAGCTATTTTGAGTGCTTGCAATAATTCGTGACTTTTTATCTTGATTTAATTAAATTTGAATAAATTGTAATGGATTATTTCTTTTGAAATATCAGGTACAAGTTGGCAAGCTTATTTTTTTTATGACATGTCATTTAATGAAATAATAATAGATTAAGTTTAAGATACATTTTTGAACAATATAACTGAAATACATGGTTATGCATCATATCGGGAATAGAACTTAAGTTGAAATTGTAATTCAATATCCTATCCTAAATATCACGTTGTCATCCCTTAATCGTTCAATAAAGTTATTAAGATTAAAGTATTATTTTATCAGACACAAGACGAAATAGAGTGTCAAGTAATTTCACTTTGAAGTATGGAAAGTGTGCGTGTAGAAAATTTCAGTTGTTTTTGTATGATACCAAATTCGAAATTAATGTCGTACTAATACCAGCTGGACCATCGGCTAAATCCTGTATAATTCATAGCATGAGTTTAATTGCTCGTCAGAAGTGCGGCTGGACTCACAAATTATTAAAATAATCCATAACAGCAAGCTCACTGTTGAGTTCTGCTGATATCTAGAATCATTTAACACTGCTATAGTATAATAGTATGTACTTAAAATGAATAATTTCAAATAAATATTTGGATCATACTTTATTAACTCATGACATAAAATATGAATTCAATAATTTTGTTACCAGATTCTTTTTCATTTACTTTGGATAAAATACTGGACATTATAAAAGTAAATATTCTCATATCAAGAGTCAAGATATAATTAATAATAGCTCTACAAATTGAATGGAATTTAAAATGTGTCCGTTGGAGCTACACCAGAGGCTTTCACGAACCAATTAAGGTTGAAAGTATACCTGAATAGGTATGTTTGAAGATACCACTAAGTGTTATATAGCTGTATGGTACCCTGGGGGGAAAGAGCAGTCATTTGAAGTAATTTGTTATCTGTAGTGTTCAGGCAGAGAATAACACAGGCATATGACATCGGCCCAGGCCAAACAGTTATGATAGAAAACAGAATAACCTCGAGGCCCTATACGCTTATATGGGCCTTTTAAAACGCATACCCATACATTAAATGATAGCATCACACCTTGCTTCGATATTGCTGGTCGGCATTAAAATCATAGTAATGAGTGCTGTAGCCTTAATGTATTCGACATACCTTGTATATCACATTTTATCTAGTGTTAACCCACAGTGTTGACTCAGACTACCTGGCATTTTGTATTAAGAACCCCGAATTTGATAAATTTTTGAAATAAATCATTATATTTCATTATATATAGAAACACATTCCATGAGCCAGAAAAGGTTCAAAAAGATGGTAGAGAAACATATTTATTTCATATTCAATTTTCTATAAATACTATATGTTTTTATAAATGTTTAAGATTTTAAGTCATTTGTATTCAAATATACATATACGCAAAATACACACCCTTACTCACGCTTATAGGTTAAATTATTTTAAAATATTTATAAATCGTATCATTAGTACTTAATAATGCTAAGGCCTTTTGTAATCTACCATTATAATCCGTCGTGTGTATTTAACGCTTTAATCAAGCAGAGCTTACAATTATGACGGTATTTAATCATATGGCCTCAGATTTTAAACCCGTATGTGTAAGTAAGAAATGTCCATGTAATGTTAAGGTCGGCGTACTAGATGTATACGCCTCAATGAGTTTAATTAAATTGGCAGGGATCGATTAAAGTAATGTTTGTATATCCTTAAAAGAGAATTAATATTCCATTAAATGTGTACCTAGGTACGTCACGTAAACGATGGTTGAAGAAATTTTAAAACAGTTGACATAAAAATAATCCCATTTGACACAAAATTTGAATCAAATGATACCATGGTAGGGCTAACATAAAGTCTATTATACCGTTTTATACGTACAAGTAAAGGACGCTATAATCACGCTGTTGTGATAGCCTCAGATGACAATACGTCTGACCTTGCCTGGTGTGCATACTTAATGTCTGATTCTCATTTCTAAACACAATACAGTTTTCCATTAGCAAGAAAAACCCGAATTACATTTCCCTCTAGAAATCCCCTCTAAATACTCCCTAACTCGTCAAAATTGTACAACAAATGTTTTTTTTTATTGATAATGACCAGTTTACGTAAGTTTGAAAACAATCTTGATAATAATCCTTTTTTAATCACCATTGAACCCAATGTGATAATTTATGTTAGTAATGAATGTTAAAGGCTTTTGTTCATGATATCATCCTAGACAAGCACTCAAATGACTAATGATTGACCCATTGAGCAGTACTTTTACTAAATACCATCGTGGTCTTTTGTCAGTATTGCTAACTAGCACAAAACGACAAAACCAAACCACACGCAATTTTAGCATTGTTACCGGATTCATTAATAGGGCTATTAATCGTTTTCCTTTAGAAAACCCCCCAAATATTTGTTCATGTGTTGTGCATAGGATAGAAGAAGGTACTGCATTATTTGCATGACACTTCCCACGAACACATTGGTCGATAGCCTACTTACTACATGAATGAACAAAATATGCCAATAGAATTACACGCCTACCTGAAAGACACGGGACCTCCCCGTCTAGGGAGCTGCCCCACGAGTGTGTGGTATTTAGACCATGCATATGTACGATTATATTTAAAACTCTGTCGCTTTATCAGCCAACATTGCATGTGTCAATGCATATGAAAGAGTGTCGGGAAGCTATTGAAATCGTTATGAAATATTCACGTCGATTTAATCTAATTAGGCACCGGAATTAACAGAAAAATCACGTTTCGGGATTTTAAATGTACAAACGTGCTGTAAAATATTAGTGACAAAGACAGTTATTTTTACAACTTTTTGGCTTGAATTAATTGTGATATGAATTAGACAATGATAAACTATTACGGTTTAACGTTTTGGTATTTGATTATGCACGTTAAGAAGGTGAAGTTTCAACTTCAACAACGACTAAAAATGATAAAAGAAATAAAAGTAAAAAGGTAACAGTTCGAAACATATGCCGAAAATGAAAGAATGAGAGGCCATTCCAATAAAACATATGGTTTAGCGTCTAGTATAATTGTGAGATCCTATCATATGACAGTGAAGGTCTCCAAAAATAGTATAAAAAGGTGGAATGATTTTTACTACAAAATGGTGATTGAAAATTTACAAATATCGCATCTTGAAAAGCCAGCTGTGCCTGTTTAGAAATGAACCAGTGATGAACCATTCAATCTAAAGAGGCCCATTTGGGGGTAATTATTACTTGAAAGAATATAACTTTCCTGTACAAAGTTATCTTGAATCAACGACAGATTAAACTCATATATCTTTTTCGATTAAAAAAAATCTTATATACAGAAACATACAACTGTTCCACCAGAGAGAGTTGATAGCGGCTTATGCATATTGGAATAGTGTCAAACAGTAAAAGCCAAGAAGATAACACACTCTTAACAGCTCGGAAGCTAGCTAGAAGGGTCCGCGAGTGCATAGCCAATTGAAATCTTGATTACCTATTGTTACTATCATCTGGTGCCTGAAATGGTCACTCGAAGTCACAGTTTAAAAGCCAGGTCAAATATAGCGGGTGTATGTCCCGGACATAAAAACCAGGGCTGACAATAGTCAATGAATTTTGAATTAGTTTTATGATATCCTCGAGGGGAAAACACTGTTAAATGAAGCGTTGTAAGCAGGACTCGCCCAAGCGTGTTCGATTTGTGAATATCCCTATGGCGACACTGAAAGGACGGTTATACCTAGTTGCACCCTTAAAGAATACATACAGTTTGATCCAATGGATGCCTGTTTGCGACGGAGACCCTAGTGCGTACTTATGTATTTAACAGTGTTTGCTTCTATGGAATGTCTTGATTAGATGGGTTGAAGGATAGTTACAAGAGTTAACACTTGCTCAATCATTAATTAAATTGTTCCAACGTATCGATACACATTTTCAGAAGTGTTCAAGAAAGGTTAGAATATTTGGCAAAATATCACTATTTTGATTATAAAAATTATTAAAAGTGTAAATTACAGTGCCTTCCTCTTATACCTGTTCAATAATATCTGTAATATCAATCTAACATGGAGCAGATGGAAAATGAGGAAATTATCTTTACATTCAATAAATATTTAATATATCACATAAAAGTAGTTTTCAAAAATTCAATGCGAATTTCCTCGAGTGGAGTTAATCCTTATGCGAAATTGTTATTAAATTATATCCCACCCATGATAGAAATGGTGCAGTTTTGTCTTTGTAATGAACTTAAAAGTCCTTGTGTAAGCCAAATTCCGTCAATTATGTACATTAACATAATTTACTCTCTCACCTTTATATAGCTTTATGATGAATGAATAAGGACACGTAATGGAAGAATGAAGATAACTGCTCATGCCGAATAATTTTATGTGCAGAGTTCGGAATTGACGCGACCTTCTATTACACCTTGGGTCGGCACTCTTTGTGAATTTAACCGTGTAATGGGGAGAGTGTCATAAATGTCACTTCCCGCCAAAACCCTTGTCGTTTGGTGACCTCTCCACGTTCTCATATTCATGTGGATAAGCATTAGCGTACTAAAAGGTGTCGTTATGCTAGGCGAGGAATATGTCGGTAACTCCTACGATCACTTGACTAGATTACAGAGATACTGTGTGTTTGCAATGTGAACAGAACGTTAAGGTTAAGAATTATAAACATCTCTTAAAATAACAACTAGAAATATATAGCAAGGAGAAAATAAGTTTGTTACTGTAGAAAGCCAAGAAATAGTAATAGTCTACTACAACAAGATTAAAAAAACCCACCTGTTTCCATTCTACAAATCTTATAAATATTTCTAGTAAAATATTTATAAATTCTAAAACAATAATCCCATACACAGATAGATAGCAATCGCTTATGGTAGTTATTGTTAACACTAAATTTATAAAAATAAATTAGTAGATACTAGTATATTACTTTTCTTTTCTTAAGTATTTTATCTATAACATTTTTCAATGATGTGACCGATGAATTAGTAAGTAAATACAATTAACAATCACTCACCATGGCGGAGATATATCCATGCGAAAGATCGCTAGTAACTCGCTGTATATCACAAAGACTGGGCTACCTACAGGAGCATGTTGCCTGTGCTGTGCTCATTGGACTTGTGATGCCTTAGTACGATCTGACCCTAATTATATAGAGGTAGATGAGGTAGTATAAACATACCTGGACACGGAAGTATTCCCCAAGGGGTACACACGTGAAATTTACCTGGCCGAAGACTTAGCACCCTCTGGGGACAGACGAATATGACAGATTTTAAGACATATCTCTGTTTTAACCAAAGGTTAGAGACGCTTAGTTTAAATATTATGTGGGTATTACATATTTTTATAAACATCCTAGTTTATGTACTTCCCTTTTGATGTTAGTAATCTGACATGAGATATCAGGGTTGTGTATAGTTCAAATATTACATCATAACGTATATTGATGAACCAATACTCATATTGATCTATCGATTGAAATGATACATGGCTAGGTTAACTGAAGAATTTATATCTGAAGCAAAACTATGTATTAGGCATCACGTTTTACTATTTTAGAATACGATTTAGTATCCTATGAATTTCAAGCTGCAAATGTTTAGCAGCTTGTTTTAATTTGCACAGTTGTTAGATATAACAGGTACATGTATTCCTGAAATGGTGAAATGTTTTACCCATATTCCGTTTTCGAAATGTTTGCCCCTGAACAAGACAGAAAATTCAATATAGGCCAAAATTATTTCATGAAGATAGCAGCACCAGTAATCACATGTTGGCGACTTCAAATCTTGGCATACCATGTCATATCAGGGCAAAACTACAACGTTTGTTACTATAAGTTGAAATTTGAAATTATTTTATAATTTTTATTGAATAATGATCTAGCTCTAGTTAACAAATTGCATTTTTTTCACGATATTCGAAACAATATGTGTTTTAATGCGTTTCAAATTCACAGAAAATCACCAAATACTTTATTGTAAAAGGAAATCCTAACTTTGCCGGCCTGCTTATAGGTGTTCCCATTGGAAAAGGTTGCAGTTAGACTATTATATCAAGTAACACGTAAAATATGAAAAGGATAACATGAGGAAAATATATTATTCGGATTAGGAGTATTTCCGTTTATTATAAAATAACCGTTTTCAGATAACTGAAAACGTTTTGGAAACAACTGTTGTGAAATTTAGATTTTATTAAACTACAAATACATCACTGAGTCAAAATATTTGTTTTGAATTCCATTAGAAGTTATAGGACTAAGTGCATGTTCAGCAAAAAGAGCATATTCTTTCTCTCTTTCTGGGTAAATCGTGTGTTTGTAACCCTCCTTGAGCCCCGGTAAGATGGTGTATTCCCTAGAGTAACCCCGCCAGAATGATCAGACAACTAGCCAGGAGCATCTATCAGATCAATAAGAATCGATCAGAGGCAAAGGTGATTAGTATTGACAGGTGATAGATAGAGTAGGAAGTACATGTACATACTCAATTACACCTCAGGTGTCACGGGATCTTACCTGACCGTTACCAGGTGTGTGCGCCCAGATAGCAGGCTGTAAGCACGCCTCTTTTCCTGAAAAAAAATGTAAAATACATGGACTTAGATATTTTCCGGGTTAAGTCATACATATTTTAGTAGTTGTTTCCTGGCTAAATAGTTATGTAAAATCTCATAATTTGATCTTGTTTTCTAAACCAATTCTTAAATCCCCTTGCAGTATGAAGTTAATTTTAATATTTGTAAGTCAAACTTCCCTTTTAAATGATTCAACGCTCTAGAAAGTAAGTTAATATCATCTGATTGTCATATATGGTTTTATTAAATGCTTTCTGCCAAAACATGTATGTACAATTGTATTTGAATGTTCTAAACTAATTCATAAATCCTCCTATATTAAGAAATAATTTCAAAATTTGACTGTCGAACCTTCTTTTAAGTGATGCGATTTAGTAGAAAATAATGTTATTTTGACGGCCTTGTCTATTTATATTACATTAATTCTAATCTGTATTTTGGCATGAATTCATGTCTATTTAATTTAGAATGCTGCTTTAAAAGGACCAATAAAAATAAATGAGTAAATTAAAGTAAGTAATAAACCAAAACAAATTTCACCTATAATTGATAGTATTCTTACACCATAAAAGAAAAATATCACAGTACAGGCAAAATCTCATATCGTTTGACATTACAAAAAATGTAATCTATTTCATATTTACTGATTATGATAAATAATTCGAATATTTGGAAAATGTATGCATAGTTCCTTTCCAAAACTATTCATTTACCGTATATGAATCGTGAAGTAAATGAACAGTTAATTCAAATTAAAAGTTAAGTTGTCAAGACTAACTTAATAATCAATTGATATTAATGAAAATCTTTCAATTTATTAGGTTTTTATTACAAATGAAACTAAAAAGTCAAAATGTGCTAAATATTACGTGAGTTAGATTAAAAACTAGTCCATCGCTCTATCACGTGCTTCATAGTTTAAATATATAAGTACGTAACATCATTTTCTTTGAACCAAATGATTGTCATAAGAGTTATACGATGACATTTTATAGCATTTTAATCAATTATTTTATTAAAAGCTTTACGGTGCGATCGTAAGCATAATCTATAATAACTTACACAGAAACTAACTGAAAAGACTTATTATGAAAAACAAATTAATTATCCTAATTTGGACAATTGATTTTTATATAAAAAAAGCATAATAATTGTTATATTCAGTCTACCATTGTTTAGAACATAAGTATACGTTATACAGTCGTCAATTACAACGGGTTTATTGGTTCAAACTGCAAGAAAGAAATATGATACACAATCTGCTTGTACACGCTTGAAATAACAATCAGCTAATCACGTGTAAATTATTTCAGATTTTGTATGATTTCCATAAGTGTTATTTCCATACACATGTTTCTGTTCTTTAAATTTGATATTTTACATGATATCCTTATAACACAACGAAAAGATCATAATCGATCCTTTGATCTTCCTCAATCAGACATTTGTTTTAATCCGGATTACGAAGCCACAAACTGCTTGTTGATGCCATATTTGATTTAGAATATTTATCCGAAAATAAGTTATGTCAAATGTGCTCGGGAAATCATTCTTAATGTGCTTCTTTGTGATATTTATGACCATTCTCTCTAAGCATGACGACTACCTCAAATGATATAGTCTTGGGAAATAGTCAAAATATTTTACATATTGGAAGGCAGAAAGGCCTAGCGGACGATCTGAATGATTTTTGTTTTTATTCTATATTTTCCTTCGCAAGGACTTATTTATTTATTATCTACTATATATATATTTATTATTAAAATATGAAATAGAAAATAATTTTGAGTTTATCGTTTACTCCATTTCAGTTTTATAGATATCCCTGAAATGATACATGCATCATCTCAGGGATAATATCAATTAATTTGCTTCAATTTTGATAATTTATTAACATCGACCTCCCTTAATATATAATCCTTATGAGAAAAAATATTTAATATTTTTTTGCAAACATTCGGACATTAGGGCATTCCATGTTAAGTACTCACACAACGTAAATCAAATGATGCATATTTACTGATATTGCGTAATGAATTAATTAAATGCAAGAGATGGAAGATTATCACGAATAATGTATATTTTGAACTTTGTACCTACATTAACTTTTCAAACATGTCTCCTGTTTTATTTAATTTATTTGATAATTTAAATGGTAAGTGATAATTATACATGCATAAAGAGACATCGGGTCTGCAATAATCTTGATATAAGCAGTATCTGTTTTTCAAAATTTGCACATTCAAATTTTAACCTTCATCTTACACTAATACGTTAATATTGAAATAGAAAATATGTTAGATTATGAATGGATTAAAATATACCTCTTGAGCTATCAAAGAATTAACTGATATCAATGTCGAGGATTTGGTATGTAGATTTCGATTAACATACATGCACTAAAGTTATTGTATATAACCTAAGTATACATATATATACATATAATATGATATCATTATAATATCATTCAATCAACGGAGGTTTACAATGACATGGCATAAAATTCTTTTGATTTAATTTATGTTTCATTAAAATGCACGGTGAAAATCACTTTACTCTTAAACACATCGGTAAAAATTTGAAATTTAATTCACTGGAATGAACCAACGAAATAACAATGCATGCAGTATCAGAATACTTGGCATGTTCAGATTACTTCTGAATAATCTTTAAATAAATAAAATTAAAAGTAATTGACATTTACGCATATCTCCAGATATTATGTTATGCTTTTGTCTTTTGAATATTCCAATCACATGATGCTTCTTTTCAAAGTGAAACGAAATAAAGCATATAATTTAATTTTCATTTGTTATTACAGTGCATGCCCATACGTGTCTAGACAAGCTAATATATGGAGAATCGCATTTGTAGCTGGAATTTATTGTGGTACGGCTTACATGAAATACAAGTTTAAAAATGAATTGCATATTTTGTAGCTAAAATTTGTCAGTTCGTAAAGTTTTGAAAAGATTTATACACACGTTTTCGTTTTGCTGTTTTCCACACTTTAGACATGGTGTTTTATGATTGGTTTTAAACTCTAGTACCACTTAGGAGTCTCAAATGAACGCAATGGTCATATGACGCAGACAAATTACTTCACCTTTTAGCTTTCTACATCGAAAATTCGAACTTAAAATAGGCGCTTTGCTACCTTACTCCGTATTCCAAGTAATTGTTTTTATCAAAATACATCAACTCAGATGAAAACATCATATAGCATTGTCGTGAAGCACAACCTTAATTGATTTAATTTTCTTCGTAATTAAATGTAAATTTAGTAAGAAATTGGAATGTATACCGTAACCTTTACCTAAATGCTAGCTGTTGTTATATTAAAACGCCAATGGAATACACATTGTACTTTACTGGTACTGATTGAAGAATTTCAGGCCGATGATATGTATTTGCTTTTATTGATCGACTGTTTGGTCTTAATTGCAATCAAACATTAATGTCTTTGTTGGGTTCGGATTATATTAACTATTTCTGGGTTTTTTAAGTGTATGTATCAGTTGTGAATTTGAATTTGTTTTCGGTTTTCATAAGTAGGAGGACGCAAGTCCAGAACAAAACTAAATCGAATGCATCATCCTGTTGATGGTTTTAGTCAATGACATGATGCCATTATTAGTATTAACTTTACTATAGATTAATGTTAATTCGATCAATCTTTTTTTCTCAATAAACGTTTTCGTACAAACTAACGTCCTTAAATGACAGTAGCTGTTACTAAAAGGTTAAACAAATTAAAGAAGTCGTACAACTATTGTCAATTGAAAAAATGTCAAATGATTTCGTGCTGTTGAATGCATTGCAGTGTACAACTAGCCATGATAAGATAAAAGAAACGACGATTCGTCCCCAATATATTCAATCGTGTTCAGGAGACATACTTATTGTATGGTATTTAATCAGGAAGCGTCTCAGTGACAGGAATATCAGCTTGATGTGTAACTTGTTGACATATTATAGCGTGTGCCTGTCAATCATTTGTGTGACCTTAATCACAAACTCTGATATGTGGACATGTTAAACCGTTCATCTGAGAGGGACCTATATTATGCGTATGCATAGATAAATAGAACGTATTTAATTATTAACAGTTCAAAGGGAATTATTAATTTGTGGAAAAGAAGATATTATCATGAATAGAATGTTTTTGTGGGTACAGAGGGATGGGTTATGCTCGATGTGCTCAAAGGAGTTTTGCTTTGTCAGCTAAGTGATATATATATATTCTCTGTACGCTTAAGTTATGATATAGCAACTTCACAGTTAATAGGTATGAATAGGTCAGACATTATAGTCATTCAACACCTACACATAGGTAATGCTCACATCTTATACATTTATTACTACACAGAATTATTTTTTGAAAGGATATCGCATTTCACTCATGATTATGTTATTTTCATTAACATTTGTGTTACATAAAGTTTATATGTATATATGTATACCATACTACTTGAATATGTGAATGCTTATCTAGTTGTAACGAGACTGTTTTTCATCCTGGATTATATATATTCCATTTATGCACGTTAAATGTGTGACATTAACATGCATCGTCATGTACAAATATATATAAATATACACTTATAAAATTAGAATAAAACAGTTTTCGTTGAATTTACATCTGTAACACCTTTTATTTGCATCGTATGTAATCTTCTGTATCTATATACATTTGGAAAAAATCGATGTGCTGCTAGCAATGTCCTGTTTCCCGTACCATAATGAGCAATAGTGTTACACGAATCCCAACATGTTGTGCGGTTTTATCAGACAAGGCCACCACATTTTCCCCAAAAACATAAAACAGTAGTATACAGGCGTTACAATCCAACAGGCTATGAGTCATAAACCAATTTCTGCAAGATGACATGGGAAACTAAAATGTGGCTCTTTTCCCTCATGAGACTAGTGATTATTACAACGTTGTGATGTGCATAGCCATATTGTTTTAACAAAAAAAAAATCAAAGCAATTTC